TGGGGTGGGAGGAGCAGCAATGTTAGAGCCCTTGGGATGCAATGCTGGGATCACCCGGGTTCCCAACAGCAATGCTGGAGGAGCAGCAATGTTGGGATCACCTTGGCATGCCTTTTCCAGCCCCAGGCTGGACATACGGGATGGAGAAAGGGGAGAGACCCCGGTCAGATCCTTCCCAAAGGCCAGGGGACTGATGGCCAGAGTGGCTCCATCCCTGCTCCCCATCCTCCTCCTCAGCAGAGCTGCAGAGGTGCAGGAGGCCTCGGGTGTGCAGGGCCAGGCAGGGAGCCAGCGCGGACTTTTCCATCTCCGACCTCCACGGAGACCGACACCTGTGTCCCTCCTCTCTGCCGGGCCGTTTTTAGCAGCGTAATTATACCCTTTCAATCTATGTATAAATAACTGGAATTCCGGGTAAAATGTCGGGTTGCTTGATTTACATCCCCAGTGAGCCGATAAGGTTGCCACAAGGATAAATCACGGCAGAAGTGCACACTCAGAGGATCTCAGAGGAAGAGAGAGAAACTTCTGCCCCCCCGCTCTGCCATTACTCATGCTTGTTTGTAAAGTGGCCAGGATAGTTTTGGCATTAAACAAACATTGTGCGATTGCCCAAGTATTCCATCATTGTCCTGAGTGCCCATGGAGAGTTGCAGGAGAAGGCACTTGTTCTTCCTGCTGCTTCTGTTTTCAGCCCACCAAAGACAGAGCCTGAGAGGAGGTTGCTGGATGGGGGCTGCTGCCAGGGGTCCTGGTCCCATCGCCCCAGCGACCCCCTGGCCTCTCCACCTCAGGCTGGAATTTTCAGAGGCAGCTGTGCAGGACCCACGGAGAGGTGGGGAAAGTGCTTTGGCTCCCCCAGGCCCCCAGCCCTGCAGCGCTGACTGCGGCTGCTGCATCTCTGCCCAGCCGGCGGCGTGGCGGGGAGACGGACGAGTCCGTCCTGGAGGTTTTTCAAGTGGAGATTAACCACTGAGTAGGTTGTTTTTATTTAAGATGCCATATGTCTCTTCCCTCTAAATATCTCTTCCATCAGATACCGCTGTGATTCCCACTCTGCCTCCCAACGCTGCCTTTGAGACGGTATTGCAAACACTTCATAAAACCGTGTTAGATGGGAGATGGGAAATGCTTTGAAGCTCCTTCTGCCCCCTCCCTGCAGACGCCAGGCTCGAGGTGTGCCCTGGCCCTGTCCACCCTGCAGCGGGGCCGGAGTGGCCGCTGCTCCCAGGCCAGGTCCTGGTGCCCATTTGGCTCCCGTGACTCATTGGATTACGCTGCAAAATCCCTTCTCCGCCTGCTGAAGGGGATAGCAGCGTTATCCTCTTCCCCTGCTGTGAGCTTCAATATATCAAGGATTGTGAGGCACTTAGTGCTATGTAAATGGGAGACGTATCAGCTGTGCCTCAGATAAATGAATTTCACTTAGATTGATGGGTGTGAAGCACTTCCAAAATTAGGCCTATTCTTCTTAAATCAAACAGTTTCCCCAAGCCAGTTCAGCTCCATTGATGTAGAGGAAGTCATCAAGCTGCGATTCATCATCGAGCTCAATCACAGACCTTCAACACCCTGACCCACTGTGAGCTTCCTCCTCTTGGCAGGGGGAGAGGAGTTTGGCCAGGCACAGGAGGAGCAGGGTCCTTCTTCTCCTCCATGCACGGGTCACACAGCTTGGGCTGCAAACACCTGTTCTGGCCCTTGCACTGAACCATCTTTATGCCCTTAAATGCTCTGTAGCGTCACAAATGTCATTTCATTCAGCCAGCAAAGAGTAAATCCCTCACGCGTAGGAGCACCGCCAAGCTGCAGCTCGCTGAGTAACTCTGTAGTAAACCCACCAACGGGTTTGTAGCAGCTTCTTTGCCTGTTTGGTGGGGCTGCCGCCCATCCCAACCCCATGGGATGCTGGAGGGGCGAGGGTCTGCAGGCAGCCCCTCCTCTCCAGGCTGGCAGCTCTCCTCTTCCCTGTGCCAAAGCCGAGCACCTCCTGCCTGCACGGATCTGTCTGGTGTTTATGCGCAGAGCCGCTCAGCTCCCTCCAACTTTTTAACTGCAGATAATCAACAAAGCTGGGCAAATAATTTAGCGCGTATAATTTATTCTATGAATTTTGATTCTTTGCCCACAAGCAGCTTGTGCTGCTCACCAAGGTATTGGTGCTATGAAATTATGCAGGGGAGCTGCCGCCTTGGCCTGGGGCTGGCTCAGCCAGCTGGCAGCGAGCAGGACACCCTGAGCACGGCAGTGCTGGCCCAGGACTTGTCCTCCTCCATCAGGCGCCTCGCTCGTGTGGCATTTGTCCTGCTGGTGGCCTGGGAGGTGTCCAGCCTCAAAGGGCAGGTGTGTGTTGTTATCAGGAGCTGTCCCCACATAGAGGACAGGGGTTCCCAGTCCCCAGTCCAGGATTAGGCACCCAGAGAGGAGCTACAACCACCCAGCAGCTGAGCAATTGTCGAAACGTGGCAGCATCATCCATGTGTTTGTACCAAACTGCCCCACACTGTCATTAGATGAGGCTCAATATGCCTAGGAGCAGCAGTAACCACAGCTGTGATGTTTTTCCCCGTTGGCAGCAGAAGGAAATGCTGCAGCCTCATGCGTGGCCATCGTGCCAGTTAGGAGCTGGCCCAAATTCGCCGTGGAAGCTGTGAGGTGTTTTGAAGTGCTTTGGGCCGTGTTCTGCAGTGCTTTGGGCCGTGTTTGCAGTGTGCCTCGTGTCTGTTGGGCCAGTCCCTGGGCCAGGCTGGTGGTCCCATGCCTGCTGTCAGCCGTGGGGCAGCCAAGGGGACGCAGCCACGGCCACACAGGTGGCCCTGATGCTGTCCCCAACCTCTGCTCCGCTCCGGCCACACATCCAGCCGCGTCTTTGTGTCTGACAGGAGCTGGAAGAGCTGACGCAAGTTTTCATTAACAGCTCCTCCGAGGTGGGAGTGAACGTGTTTGTAGAGGGATGTGTGGCTGTAAATCATCCGCGGCCTGTCCCCGTCCCTGGCTGTTTGCCACCGCCGGCGGCAGGGCGTGCACGCCGCTGTCACTCCGTGGATGCCCTCCAGCCCCTTTCTTTATCTCCTAAACATTGCAATCTTGTCGTCTGCAGCAAGAGCTACGGCCCTTCAACTTAAATGTGCCTGCCAAGAAAAATGTTGATTTTTTGCCTCCACCTACCTTCAGATATCTGATTAATTCAATGCAAGGAGCAAGGAATAAAGTTGGGGGGGTTTTAAGCTCAATACAGAAACATTGATGTAGAAAACCGCTGTGGCTGTTAGAGCTGCCTGGTGACAGAGACAGCCTTAGAATGCATTTTAGCTTGACTTGGCATGCTGGCTTTGAGGAGCTAAATGGAGAACTGAACTAATCCCAGGTCTTAATGAATAATGTTCAAATCCAACTTTCATTTTCCAATGCGTCCATACATTCAAGAATGACTCACAAGGTGTTTGTTGTGCGGTGGAAGAATAGCCAAGCTGGGAAGGGTATTTTTATGTGTTTGTGAATCATTGTATATGATATTTTCCTCCACTGTGCCTCTCTGTCCTGGCAGTTTTCTGCAGAAAAATCCATTCAGCCGCACTGGAAATGTAGGCACTTTATAGAAAATCTTTAATAGCACCAGCACAAATGGATGGCTCTTATTTCCTCTCCGCAAAGTGGCGATTTGCAAAACCGCCGCTAACAAATAGTCACCCGCCTCCCCCAAACCATCGAGCAGAGGCCGACGGAGCCGCCTCCTGCCCCCATGGGTCGGGCAGAGCCTGGCACAGGGACAGGAACCTCGTGCCCCCCGGGTCCCCAAAGCCACAGGCCACGGGTGGGGACAGGGCAGTGGCGTGGGCTGGCCCGGCCCGGGAGGTGTGGGAGCGGTGGGTGCAGCGGGGCAGGGTGAACACACGGCTGCACAGGTGCCAGCGTCTGTGCACACACATATGGGAGAGACAGGGACCCGCACGGATCCCTTCCAGCTCGCTCCGTCCTGGCTCCCGTGCCTGTTTGTTTTCTGCTACACTCGTCTTGCTGGAATTTTTAACATTTAATTAGTCGAGCCAGCTGCTTCTGCTTTGCAAAGGGCTGGGCAGCTCTGCCTGGTTTCAAAGGCGGCTTTCTTTGTTCCCAGGATCTGTCCAGGCTCCAGCGGAGGCGCAGAGCCCGGTGCCCCGCTCCTGCGAGCGCTGCGTGCCCGTGGCTGGATCCAGGGCCAGGCTGGAGCTGCGGGCTCTGCACGGCGCTGCCAGCCGGGCCTCCAGCCTGCCTGGGTCACAGCGGAGCTCGGAGCTGCCATACATCCCCTCTCCAACCCTCTCCCCGAACTGGAGCTGAGAGCCACCTTCTGCTCCACAGATTATTGGCCCTGGGAAGCGGGATGGAAACCAGAGGAATCATCGAGGAGGAGGAAGGGGATGGAGGCTCCAAGCCAAAGGGCTGAGGATGAGCAGCTCTGAGCATTGCCACGCTCCGTGCCTGAGCCCCCCTTCCTCAGCCAGCCCTGGCACAGCCCTCCCTCCTTCCCCAGTGCCCACCCAGCCCTGCAGAGCACGGAGCCACTGGTCCCATCAGCGGCTGCAGGAGAGCCCGTGGGTTCTGGGGAGCTGGGATTGCAGCCTGATTATCGGCACCGATCATGAAAACACCTCGGAGGCCCTTGCCTTCAGAAAAAGTCAGAGCGCCGCAAATGTCAGGTGTCAGCAAAGCCTTTCTGCAGCCCCGGGCCGCTCCCTCTCCGCTTCAAGTGGCACAAAGGCCCCTGCACGATTCTATTCAGCCTAGATACCATCTCCAGCCTTTAAAGCCGAGAGAAGTTTGCCTGAAAATAGAGGCGTGATCTTTATTCCGATCGTTCTAATCATTCCTTTCCCCCCTGGGAAATAAATTTTTAATTGTTCTTATTCTTCCATAGCACCTTTGAAGTGCTTTTACATTCAAAGTCCAGAATAGAAGAATACTTTAAACTTTCCAATTTTCAGACCCTGGCAAACCCATCGCTTCTGACATAAACAAACAAAGCCCAAACATGTTTAATGAAACAGTTTCAGTTTTTAAAATGAACGATTTTGTTTTGATCAAAAAGCCATTTGTAGCTCCAATCCCAAAGACGTTTTCCCAAAATCCATTTAAGCCAGCTCTAAAAACCTCTTTGCAGAGGGAGGTGTGACGTAGTCTTGTTTGCCAGCCTGGATTTGCTTCCCCTCCTTAGAGCTGCCAGAAGTGAGACCTGGGTTTTGGGGGGATGGAGACCTCCTGGGCTGGTCACAGGTGATTCCCCTGATAGGGGGGACAAGAGCTTGGCAAACAGCATCCAGGAAACAAAAATGTGCATTTTCCCTCCATTGGGGAACACCGGGGAGCAAAACGAGCATTTTCTCCCATATCCCGGTCCTTGCATCTCTGACCCCACGCAGGGATTTTGGTCCCGGCTGCACCTCCCGCTGCTGCCACATCCAGCTCTGGGCTGGGGCCAACAGCCCTGCTCTGGATGAACTGAAAATTCATTTCCAGCCGGCGCTGCATCCGAAAGTGCTGCGCATGCAGTTGTTGCTGCCAGCGAGCTCATTAGCGCAGCTCCGGGAAGGAGCCTGGCCAGCGGCTGCTGGGGGGACACGAACAGCTCCCACCTGCCCGGCCAGGGGACAAAGCCCCGAGGGAATCCCTGCAGCTCCGGCCAGGGGCAGGGAATGGTCCCTTGTCACCCACCTCACACCTCTGCTCACCCCTCGGTAATCACCCTCTGACCCTGCCCCACGGACAGCAAAGCCATGAGCATTGTCCCCCAGCTCACAGCAGGGCCATGAGCATCGTCCCCCAGCTCACAGCAGAGCCATGAGTGCTGTCCCCCAGCTCGCAGCAGAGCTATGGGCATTGTCCCCCTGCTGCCTGGCAGAGCCATGAGCATCGTCCCCCTGCTCCCTGGCAGAGCCATGAGCATTGTCCCCCAGCTCACAGCAGAGCCATGAGTGCTGTCCCCCAGCTCACAGCAGGGCCATGAGCATCGTCCCCCAGCTCGCAGCAGGGCCACAAGCGCTGTCCCCACCCCGGCTTCCCAATCGCAGCAGAGCTCAGTCCGAGGTGCTGCCTGAGGCTGGTCACTTTGTCGCTGCAGGGCTACTCCTGCTTATCACTCCTCTGGCACTGCTGCCCTTCCAAGTGTCTCAATAAAAGCAGAAAAAAGAGCAGTAAAGTGGAGTGGAAACAAGTCCGAGAGGGTTTGGCAGATCTGACTTACGGCAGAGATGAAGGAACTGAGCACAGGCCTCACATGTTCCTCCTGTGCTCTGCAGCCCGGAGCGGTCCTGCGCTCCAGCTGTGGGGACAGCAGGATGAAACTGCAGGCACGGATGTTTCCAGCTGGATCCATCTCCCCCCAGGCAGACAAACAGGCTGCTTTGAGGAGTTTTAATTTCCTCCATCACAGAGCAGCCCTGTGCCTTTCATAGTGGGAGCCTTTAAACACTTTGGGAAGCAGTTCCAACGAGTTCTGCGGGCACAGGGAGAAAACAGAAAGCTCTCAAGGAACCCTCTCTGGCAGGGAAAGTTCAGTCGTTGTGGTGCATCCTGCACTCACCGGGGTCTGCCTCAGCATCCCACCCACTCCTCATTCCCAAGGAGCCAAATGACCCTCAGTGCTGTCCTGTGGCTTCTCTCTGATGAAGCACTCGGGGCTGGGAAGCAAAACCAGAGCAGAAGTCAGGCACAGCCCTGCCACAGGGCAGACAGGGGCCTGCTCTGGCTCCTGCGAGAGGAGCAGGCTGCGGCTCCTGCGGCTCCTGCGCAGCGCCCACGGGCAGAAAGGCTCTGCCGAGCTATTTTTAGCCCTAACATTGCAGAACAAGAAGCAGCTCCAGGCAATTGTCTGTTTTCTTTCTATTTTTTCCCCTCCTTGTCTCTTTTCTCAGATCTTTCCCCGGGGAGCCGGGGAAGAAGGGCTGTTTCAGGAGGAGGGGGCTGCGAGCACTGGCTGGGGACATTCCAGCAGCACCTGGGGCTGTGCCTGGCGCCCTGCGGGATGGCAGAGCAGCTGAACGGAGCTGTTTTCCTTTCCAGAGCACAGCAGAGGAGGTGGTGTCTCACACAGCGAGGAAAATCCGCCCCCGTTCCTGCTCTGCCTTCGGATGCAGCCGCAGGTGGAGGCGCTCAGGTGAAGGTCACCTGTGGGCTGGAATGTGAAAGCAGCCGGGCCGGATGCTCTCTTCCCTCCCGGAGCATCCCCGCGGTGCTGAGGGGGGATTTGCAGGGAATTCGGCTGCTCTGTGCAATGCCAGCAGCAGTTCCGTGCCAGCTAATTGCATCCACATCATCTGTGGTCCAAAGCAAAGCCTGATTTGAGCCCCGTGTCTATGGGAAGTGGCATTGCTGATGCACAGCCGTGCACATGCTTCGTACAGCCTCAGACAGCTCGGCTTGACATGAAACAAGCCTACACAAAAATAAATTGTATTGTATTTAAATATTCCTTAAGTCATTTTAATGTATTTAAGTCTTAATTCATCTTCTCAAAGTCCCTTTTCCCTACACTAATGTGATGTATTTGACAGAAAGATGAATGACGTTATTAAAGAGCCTCTCTGGCAAATTTCAGTAATAAAATCTCCCCTTCCCCCCCGCCTCTCTCCTTTTCCACACACGCAGACCTCTGCTTCCTTCATCCTCACAGATTACTCCTGGTTACTGAAAGGGACTCCAGAACATTTCCTGAATCCTTCCCATGGGGATTATTTAACCTCCTGAGTCCATGCCAAGGGACAGGACCCGGCTGTGCCGTGCCATGTGCCCTTGGTGAGTGGAACCTCCCATATCCCCGAGCATCCAGCTACCCTCCTCATCCTCATCCTCATCCTCATCTTCATCCTCATCCTCGTCCTCATCCTCGTCCTCGTCCTCGTCCTCGTCCTCGTCCTCGTCCTCATCCTCATCCTCATCCTCATCCTCATCCTCATCAGGACCATCAGCCAGTCAGTGTGAGGGTGCCAGGCTGGAGGGCAGAGCTGCCCCACAGGACTGCCAGCATTGAGGGAATTCCCGTGGGAGGCACCGGGTGGGACTGAGCCCCTCTGCAGAAGCACTTGCCTGCAGTAAAGACGAGGTCTGCTGCTCTCTGGCTGCTTAGACTCTCCAAAGCTTCAGTGATCTACCTAGATTAGGCCTCAACAAGCTGAATTTCTGCTCCAGGTAGTGCAGCTGCTCCTCGCTGAATAAAACATGTGCTCACGCTGCTGCGCCCCGAAGACGAGCTCCGAGAAACCTTTTATTTCTCTCTCTATTCATGCACACGCTGATTTTTTTGGCAAACACCTGCAAAGAGGTGCCCCGCTTGTTGTTCCTCTCAGGTTGTTCCATGCAGGGAACGACGCTGCCGCTTTCCTGAGCTTCCCGGAGCTCGGGAGTGCGGAGCCACCCGTGGGTCCTGCTCTGAGCTGCCTTCCCAAGGGAGGCACAACAGGGCTGGGAGTGCTGCTGTTCCCAGGGGAGCCCGACTGCCAGGGGAATGACAGCGATGGGGGCAGAGCAGGCAGCGCTGGGATGGGATGGGATGGGATGGGATGGGATGGGATGCATGTTCCAGCCGCGCCTGTCTCTCTGTGCCAGGGGAGCAGCTCCGTGTTCTGGGCTGTGTTTGCACACCCACACCCCTGGGACAAACATTATCTCTGCCCTCTGAATTTGCCAGGAGCCTGAAACCCCCGTGCAGCTCTGCAGCAAGAGAGAGCCTTTCCATAAACACGCCGAGATCTGTTTGGCATCTGCTCCCATAATGACACAGCAGCTCATTACAGCCTGTGACATCCCACTGTAAACAGAACACTCTGCAACCCTGTAATTTCGGGAGCTAGATCAGGTACTCATGTGCTTGCATAATCCAAAGCACAGTGGCTTTCAAGCTGAATTTTCCTTTTCTTTTTCCTGTTTTTTTTTTTTTTTTCTTTTCCTTTTTGCTGGCTTCCCATTTCTTCTCTTCTGGTTGACATGGTTACAGGATCCTGAGGACGGGGTAACAGGAGATACATGGGTTTGGGTAGACTCAGAAACCCACTGATGCCTCCTGGAAAAGCAGGAAAAGCAGGAAAAGCAGGAAAAGCAGGCTGCTTTGAGACAATTCAGCTGCTTTGTCTTCTTCCATGTTTCTCCCTCTATTTCTTATTCCCAAATAGATTCACAGGAACACATCAGTTTCTTTCCCAAAGTCTTCCACCCACTTCTGCTTTTTCCCTGCCCAATCTGGTAATTCTCTGCTTGTGCCATCATCATCACCTTGCTGTGACTCACTGCTCTGGCAGAGGAGACCCAGCTGGGGACAGAACTGGTGGTGGGAGTGAGGGCTTACAGAAGACAGAGATGCAGGCAAAACTGCTCCTAAATTGAATGTTTTTCACGGTTCTTCCAAGCAGTGTCTGCAGTACTTTGAGATTATTCTCTCCCGGGGGGCTTCATAAAAGCTGTAAATACTCCAAATAGCTTTCAAGGTTGGCCTTGTGACAGTTCAGTTCCTGAGAAAATTTATGCTAATGTGCTGCTCCGTCACCATCCGGGAGCCCTCGCTGCAGACGCCTTTGTGCCTTCCAAGGAAAGATTTCAGGTCGTGATGTTTTGCTAGAAGTTAAATACATCCAGGCTTTGAAGCTGAAATCTCCCAGTAGTGGCTCCCCTTGCACCATATCCCATCTCCAGGATTTGTTTGGAGACTACAAACCAGTTTTCCAGGGGCTGTGAGCGCTGCTGGGGCGGGTGGCAGTGGGATGCTGTGCCAGGGCCCGTGCCCCACCTCGGGGCTGCTGCACTGGCAGCTCCAGCCTGCGAACCCAGTCAGGGCGTGTTTCACCAGCTCCCCTTCCACATCATGGAGCTGAGGCCACGCACGCCAAGCCTCGCAGAAAGCAGCAGAGACAAGGGAGTTCTGGAAGGGTTCCTGCAGGAGGAGGAGCAGCAGGGTGGAAATCCCATGGCTGGAGCACTGAGAGGGAAAAGAGAAATAAATCAGGGAGAAAACACACGGACGTGGCAGAACCGCAGTGGGTTTGGGGCTCCTGGAGGTGGCCCCACTGGCTGGTGGAGGAGCAGCCATGGCTTCTGTTCACAGCAGAGTTTTGGGGAAGGGAGTGAGCAGGGCTGGGTGCGAGGGCAGGGTCAGCCTGGGGCACTGCCCGCACAGCCACGGCTGGGGATGGCCCCGGGGACGGAGCCAGGAGCTCCAGCCTGAGCCCAAAGCTGGGACCTTCCTCCCTTCTGAGATGGGTTTGCAGCTCCCCTTGCTGGAGGGAAGCGGGGGGACAAGGGACAGCCTGCCCAAAACTGGGTAAAGGGCTTTGGCTTCCATGGAGGGAGAAATCCTCACAGTCCTCCCCAGAAGCCGTTCTACCAGTCCAGAAGCTCGCAGGGGCTGGGATCCATGGAGGAGGAGATGCTGTGGATGGCAGCCTCGCTACTGTGGTTTCTGCAGCAATCCAATTCTTTCGTCCCGGTGAGAACCAGAAGTGCTGAGGCTGCAGAGAACCCCGGTTCCCCCAGGAACCACTGCTGGGCTCAGCCTGCAGCAGGGTCCTCCTCAGGGGCCACCAGCTTCCTTTGGGGGTCTGCCTTGGTGCTGGGATTCCTCCCTCAGTCCTGCTGGGGCTGTGGCTCTGGGGAGAAGGAGCAGTTCAGGTTTCCTGCAGAGGAAAAGGGGCTCCAGCAGAGGAAAAGCCTCTTGTGGAGGTGCAGCTCTGGGAATAACACCCCATGCCCTGGCAATGCCCGTGCCCAAGGGGACATCCAGCTGCAGCATCCCACCAGGGCCAGGCTCTGCTCTGGAGCAGACCCGGGAGTGCCCAGAATTAACCGATCTGCACTGATTTTCTGTGTAACTCCCCATTTTTCACAGCGCTGTGGGCAGAGATGGGATCTGTTGTTTGGTGTTTGCTCTTGCTCCACCAGTGCAGCCCGAGGTAAAGGAATAAGGATCCAGGAGCTCTGCCTGGCTGTGCTGTGGCTCCAGGGCCATCCCTGGGATCCGGGGTGCACCCGGGATCCCCGAGGTTTTCCCTGGGTCCAAAACACCGCTGGCAGGAGTCGGAGCAGGCCGGCACCTCCCTCCCCAGGCAGGTAATTAATAATCATTACCAATCATGAATATGCATCCCTGCCATGGCCTCAGCCGTGGTGGAAGTGCTGATCCTGATTGATCAGGGGGCTCCGCTGGGCCCTCACGTAATGAGTGCAGCACGCTGCAAAGAGGGGAATTACTCTTGACACTGGGATTATATCTCTGCCAACAGCATCAATATTCTATTAAAGATATGTGATAATATAGCACTAATTGCCAATCGAGGGCCATTAAAGGCAGCCTACAAACAGTGCTTCGATCTCACCTTTCAGATTAAAAACACCGCAGTGATTTCCTGTTCCTCGTGCTTTATTCCTGTGTTTTCTGCCCATGCATAATGCAGCAATGCAAATTGCCAGCCAGTGCCCAGACTGCTGCTTCCCCTGCCATCCAAGGCTGAGGGATTCCTGAGCCTGGAAGGAGGCAGGGAGGACAGAAAACACATCCCCAGCCAAGAACAGGGTGGGGGAAAGTCCTTTCCCTGTCCCATTTGGCCAAGGGCCTAAGGGCAGCATCACAATTGACCGTGGCTTGGCAAGGGGGGAAACACCACTTGTGTGGGAAGAACCAGGAGCAGCCCAGCCCTGCCAAGGTCTGGTGATTCCTCGCTGAGCCTTTGCCTCTGCCAGATCAGCAAATCCCCGGCTCCATAAGGAGCACTCGGTGATTTCCTGCCCCC